CAAAGAAGTCAAGCCGGCAACTTGACTTTCCAATGATGATGATGATTCTGCCGCCATGACTCTTTTTGTTGATGATCGCCTGTTGTGATGTCTACAATTCTCGGCCAACTCCGAGATAAGATTCATAGCTTGAGAAGGAGTTTTGTTGATGATCCCCCCCTCCACATGCGGCGTTGATCATCCGCCTATCATCATTGCAAAGACCATCATAAAAGTATAGGATGAGGTCTTGCTCCGAATAGCCGTGGTATGGACAGGTCGCACAAAGTTTCTTGAATCGTTCCCAATATTCGTAGAACGATTCATCATCTTTTTGCTCCACATTGCTGATTTGCTTTTTGAGAGATGAGGAGACAGAGGCAGGATAGTACCTTTCAAGGAAAGCTTTCTTCATGGCCGCCCATGTACCTATACTTCCTGAAGGTAGATAGAATAGCCAATCTTTGGCGGTATCTTTGAGGGAGAATGGAAAGGCCCTCAATTTTATTTGTTCCTCGGTGACTCCATTGGGGCACATGCTTGTGCAAACAACATGGAACTCCGAGAGATGTTTATTTGGGTCCTCCCCTCTTAAGGCATGGAAAGATGGAAGTAGATGTATGAGTCCAGATTTCAACTCAAATGTAGCACCCTCATCAAGAGTTGGGAAGGTGATACATAAGGGTTGTTGATTCAAGTTTGGAGTTGTGAGCTCCCTCAAAGTTCTTGTTTCAAGAGCCATAGTTATTGGCTCTTCGGTCTCGCTAGAATGAGAACCAGCGCTGGATGTATCTCCGGTAGATAATTCCTCCGAGTCGGTATTAGAAACTTTATTTATCAACCGCTCGAAAGTTTGCTCTATTTCCGGGTTTGTTTGATAGGTGATTTTGTTTATGAAACGATGTTTAACCATATACTTCACAAAGCTCAGAAATAGAAGAAATAAGAACTCTTTATATTTTTATTTAATATTATTTTTTTTATTTTTCTTTGCAATAAAATAAAAGAAAAATAATTGCCTTCCCCCCGCAACGGCGCCAAATTTGACGTGCACTTTGTCGTGGTGTGCACTCAAAATAATAATTACAATACAAGACTTATACGTAGTATAGTGTAGTAAGGTTCGTATCCACAGGGAAAGGAATACTTTTGTTTTATATAAATAGTAACAAGGGGGGTTTAAAGTTTGATTTGATTTAATTTAATTAACACTAAGATGAACGACATATATGAGTTTAATTAATAGAGATGAGGACTTGGTTTTGCTTTTTGTCCACTTAATGAAATGTTTGTCGATCCCGGTTATATCTTTAACTATCTTCCTCTCGAATACTCAATCGAGGAGTATATACAGTTCATCGAGGGTAGTTATTAATAATGAGACGCGTTCTGATGGATAGTGTACCCGGGGGTAGCTTATCCGAGGGGTTATTACGGGGAATAATAAGAGAGAAGTTAGAGCAAGTAAGTATAGAGAGAGAAAGTATATTGTAAAGTGTGGAGCGTTTTCAGTGTGTTTACAAATGGGGAAATGGGGTGCTATTTATAGTACCAATAAATGCCGGACAGAGACACGTGTCAAGCGTTCATTGGCCGAGAGGTCACCTCAACTGGTTGGCGCTGGCAACCGCATGCGGCCGCATGTAATGTGGCTGTTGGATGGGACGTTGTACAGGGTACGGTGATCTGTACGCATGTGGCGCGGATATCGTGTCGGGAAAGGTGCCCTCGGCTGTAGAGGACTAGCCGAGGGCTCTGAGTACTGGGGACCCCCTTGGTGCCGAGGGCTCCAGGTGCCGAGGGCTACTGCTTTTCGCCGTTTTCCCAATAGCTTTGTTTTTGCTGTGTTGGCCCTCCTGTGAGAGTTAGAACCTTCGGCCAGGGGGGGCCGAAGGCACCCCTGGTGCGCATTGTGGGCTGCTTGGTACTCTGGGCGTTGTGATTTGGGCCTGTTAGGCCTTCTGGGGCTGTTGGGACTTGATTGGGGTAGTAGGAGTCTGTGGGCCGGGGGTTCCCGGGCCATATACTCCATTAGGAGTCCCTCACTCCCTTTGCCGAAAGGTACTTGAGGGAAAAGGAGTAATTGTGTTAGTCCTCTGCCGTTGTTCCGTTTGTAGTTTGTAGAGTTGTGGGTAGTTTGCTGTTTGTTTATTCTGCTGAGGGCAGTCCCTCAGTTACCCACATGTCGGGACTTGAGGGATCATGTTTGTGATTTTTGTGATTTTTCCCGAGGGGGTCCTCCAGTCCCCCACTCGTTGAGGCACTTGCAAAGTGGTGAAAAGGAGTAGAGTAGTTGCGTTGCTGTTTTGGGCCGAAGGCTGACGCTTTTCGTTTCATTTTGGGGGGATGCCTCGTTAAAAACCTCATTAGGAAAAACCCTGTGGGAAAAATTCTAATGAGGGAAAAAGAGTGCACCAAATTCCCCCAACGATGAATCGAAAATGTGAAACCTTGGTTCAAAATGGAGAATAATGGTAATGCCGAAGGCTCTCCTGGTTCTGAGGGCTCATGTGTTGATTAGCCAGAGGCTTGTTGTTGATGTCCTGGGAGGTGCCGAAAGGGAGTCCCTCAATCTGGGGATCGAGGGCGTAATGAATGCGGGTAGCAGTCGAGTTGTTACCGGGGGGTCCCCTGTTTGTTGATTAGTTGGTGATGAGGATCTCCGAGGGGTCCCGTTACCTGTGTGCCGTAGGTGATCCGTCAATGAGGCATATTCCCCGGGGGCTACCCGGCTCTCAAAGTGCTGAGGGGGGATCCCCGAGGGGTGCCTGATATGAAGCCTTGGGCTTCTGAAGGTTTGATCCCGAAGGCATCTGTTATGTACTGTGTGGGGCACAACCCGGGAGCGTCTCCGGGTAAGTGTACCCGGAGGCTCTCCTTGATGAAGTGGAGTGAAGTAAAAAGCCCCGGGGCTCCCAGAATATAGCCGTTGGAAATATAGCCGTTGGAATATGTAACGTCCGGATATAGCCGTTGGAGGGGGGTTGCCACGTGATGCGTGCTCGTTGGTTGCCCGTGGGCGGGCGTCACCGATTGGGTGGAAACTCGGTTGGTAATGATGGCAGTCCAACCGGAGGCCCGGTTTCCAGGCCCAAGCCCGGATTCCAGCGCCTATAAATACCCCATGGCCGACTTCCTTCCCCTTGTGCGAAATCATTATAGCGAAGCTCTGCCAAAATTTCTAGAGAGAGAAACAGCAGCCCTCGATCAAATTCTTATTCCAAGGTCAGTTCTCCACTCGTATTTCACCTTCTTAGTTAGCAGTCTTTGTGGCCTTAGACTAGGGGTGTAGCTTAGAGCACTTAGCACCTCTGAACCCTGGACTTAGTATAACAATGTCTTCACAAAGCGATTCTCAAGACATCTCGGGGGCGCCCTCGATGGAGGATGAAGTCATCTCGGACGTGGAGTCCTCAAGCGAACAGTCCTCGGCCCAGGAGGATGTCGCGATGGCGGTGGAAGTGCAGAAATAGGTGGTTAGTTCAAGATGGAACACATGTTGATAGGGGGTTGTTAACTTGTTAAGTTAGGAAGGAGGGGACTGTGCATACTTCCTCGTAAGACACGACTGAGAATTTTCAAGAGGTACATTCAGCGATGACAACAGGGCGGATCGGGGATGGTTTCACAGTTAACCATACCCGCCCCGTTTGGTAATCCCCGCCTCATGACCCAACGGGTAATTTTTATCCAAACCATAACCGCCCCAACGGGTAACAGGTATAATCGTGCGTAACCGCGGATAATCGCTTTATTAAATCAGTCATTGATATTTTAATATAAAAATAATATTTTTAAAGGCGAAAAATGACATCACCTAGACGACTCTAGACTCAGGCGCCACTTTAAAGTTTCGTATATCTACAAGATGAGAAAGAAGACAACATAAATTAATTTGAACATAAAAATACTTAATCTGAAAAATAATTAATCACAAAAAATATGATAATAATCAAACAATACTATTAAGATCTATTATGAACTTTCATTCATACACTATAGTTAGTACATCTATTATCCATATATACACAATGAAAATAGAAAAATCTCATCTTTTATTAGTTGTGGGACAAATAATAGTTATGAATGTAATAAAAATAGAACTAAAAATAAACGGCGCGGGTACAGGGCGGGTAATGGGACAGACGTATATAAAATCGTAACCGCACTGTTACCCGTAAAAACAAAACGGGTATTCCCCGCCGCATACACATTACCCGGTCAATGCGGGTTTCCCCATTTTGACCGAGGGCGGTTTGGTGCGGGTATGTGTCGTATCAATCACAATTGCCATATTGGCTAGGCTCGCCTAGTATCTGGTTCTGTAGTTATTTTGGTTTAGCTGTCATTTTTGTTTGTTTTTTGCATAAGGATTGTAGGTGTTTTTTTGTTGAGTGTTTCTTATGCAAGGTGAGTTGTATTTTCTTTTTATTTTTGTTGAGATTCGGGGTCAGGAGAGGATAAGCGACAAGAAATCAAGGTCAATCATGGTTGGCTTACAATTCTAGTCTTTTTAGCTTGTCTGTTTTCTCTTATCTTGTTGTTACTTGTGGGTTTCTTATATATTTTAATATAAGCGGATTTTGTTCAATAACAAAAAATACAAATTCAAATTGAACCAAACCACAAAATAGTATAGTTCATGTTTTGTAATAATTCTTGCAATCCGTTCTAAATCGAAGATGATAGCAGCCGAACCGAAAATTTATATGTCCACCCCTACTACAAGAATGCGATAACTGTATGGATGTTATTACTTGAACTATTTTTCAGTCCCAGATCAAACCAGATCAAACATGTTTTGTATAACTTTAAAATACGTATAGAATTGACATTTTTCAGTGAATATCAACCCGGACTAGAAATTTCAGTTGAAGAAACAAATGGTACAACCAAATAAATTGGGAGTAGAAAACTAAATATAGAAAGAGTATTAAGAATAATCTCCGCATCATTTCAATCCAAAATTTCGTTGTAATTAGGTATGGAGGGAGCGGTACTGTACTTCTCGAAAACAATTAAACGCCCTCTCACCCGAATCGAAATTTCAAATTTCAAATCCGAAACAAGGGCACGTGACGAATATTTCATTTTTCATTCCATCCCCTAAATTTCGATTTTCAAGCGAAATTTTTCATTTTCAGAATAAATGCCGCCCAAACCCCCATTTGAAAATCCTCCCTTTTCGCCAAATCTCCAGGCGCTCTCTTCACCCTCTCTTTATCAGAAGCTTAGCCGCTTCACTTCTTGTTCTCAATCATCGTCTACCTCTCGCCGCCCGAGTTCTTCAAGGTAATAATCATCACACTACTCATTCGAAGTGTTAAGTAAAGTAAAGCTCGGATTCAGGTCGCCGGATAAATCCTTTTACCGTCTTGAAATGGTATTCGGTAGTCCGAATCGCAACTTATCGCTGTTCTTATGTACTCTAGATTTATAGTCTTCTGAGATGTTTTATGTTTATTGAAGATTGATACAATGCCGGAAGCCAGAGATCGATTGTCAAGGCCGGCGGACGTTGCAGAGGTGTACATTAGACGGCAGATAGGCACATCCGGAGGCGGAATCGTTCAGTCACCAAATAACGACGCAGAGGAGGCTACGTTCAGGTGGGGGGAGACCGGCTTAACTGGAACTCAGAGAACAGAAACTGCGGCGGAACCTAGCGGCGGAGTTCTTACTCCCGTCAGGAGGAGTCCATTCAGAACACCAAGAGCAAGGCGCGACCGTGGATCTTCTGCGAGAGGGGCTATAATCGGTCGACAAAACCTTTCGCCAATAGCTGGCCGGAGACAAGGCCGAGCTCGCCATCGCGTCTTGCCTTCGTGGTACCCCCGTAGGCCGCTTCAGGATATTACTGCCATTACCAGGGTAATCATTCTCTCGACTTCTGGCTTAATTAATTAATAAATAAATTATAAATTAATTGATTGATTAATTGATAGTGATTGATTGATTGATTGTAAATTACGGCGATGTCGCTTTATTGGTCATTTATTGTGCGCTTAAATGTAATGCCGGTCGACATTTGTAATTATTCTAGCCGGAATTCATATTCATTCCTACGGAGTATAATATTCATAATTCAAACAGGCATATCAAAGGAGAAGAGAGCGCCTGAGAGAAGGTGAAGATGAACAACCAGAGACTCCAATGCTTCAAGATCAGGCTGCTCATGATCCTTTTGGAGCTACACCGAGTGCTCTTCTCGAGCACACAAATCCCACAACCACTCCCTTCCCAGCTTTGAGAACCGGATTGTGTCCACCTTCTACTTCATCTGTAGAAGACAATAAAGTCCTCAATATAGTTCAAGATTGGGAGTTCCTCACACCTCAAAAGAAGCTTCTAAATTCCATAGACACAGTGGAGAAGGTCTTCAAGGAGGAACTTCAAAAGCTGAAGAGGACTCCCAGTGCTAAGAGGGCGGAAAGGGAGAAGAAGGTAAGGACATTGATGTCAATGCGTTGATATAGAAGATCCAGTCGTACATTTTTTGCTATTATCTCAATCAAGGTTGAGAGGGGCAATGGGTTCTGGAGGGAAAAGGAGCATGAAGAACAGCTGAACTTGGGTAATTGGGGTTTGATCATCTTCTTTATGATCAAATCTATCTCGGTTTGAACTACTACTTATGTTTTCTATTCTATGATCAACCACTCGGTTGAATTGCTTATATGTTTCTATTCCTTTCGACCTCTGTGATATACCCTAGCTCTCTGATTAGTAGCTTTGATCAGATTGTGATACGCCATGTTGTTATAGGGCTGTTTTCCAATTCCCAGCCAGTATCACAAGTTGTAGTAGGATTTAGAGCAATCGGTTTATCAAAACCTCAGATCTCAATGTCATTCATTATAGGAGGAAAGGATTCTATAGTGGAGTCAATGAAATGCATAGTATATTTTGGAAAAGAATGTAGTTTTTATTGTTTGTGTTCTCCCTCAAGATAAGGTTGTTCATATTGAACTATTGCAAATTGGGTGAGCTTCTCCTTACCCTTTGTACAGTAATAAAGTTCATAGTGGGTGTGGTTTGGTGTGCAACGGCTCTTTTCTTTCCACTTTTTATTACACCACTTTTCTATTTTCGGTGTGTTTATCACCCATTATTTTGTACTTTTGGTATCTAATTATGGGCTTTTGCCCCTTGTGACCGTTTTTTGCCACTAATTTGTCCAGTGGGCAGTTTATTTTGCTACTAATTGCACACCTTGTAGCTTATTTAGCTCAAGAAATGAAATTAAAGAACGTAAAAATGCAAAAGATCCTGAAAATTATAATAATGAAAAACCAAAAGTGGAAAGATTTGATGGTTCCGGTACCAAAAGTGAAAAGTTTCTACAATAGTAGGGGAGAATTGCAAAGGATCCTCTCCGGTCCACACAAATTGGATGACTCTTTGCTTTTTGCTGAAAGAAAAAAGCAAATGCCAAAGCTCATACCTTAAAGCCCACTCAAATGCTTTTGTCACAACGCTCACTATTAATTCTTAAATACGGTAGGTACTATTGAAGGTGATTATTTGTTATTAGTCCTATTTGGTGTTTTTCAGTTACTTATTTATTATTCTAAGAACAATAATCGGATTTCTTGTTATTCGGCCAATTTCAGTGTTACCAAATGGGTTCTAAATATAATTTGTTTAAATCTGATCGATTTGGTTAGAGAGTGAAACCAATCTAAGTGAATAACCCTAAAAGCATGAGGATACTAAAAAATGCTAGGAAAAGAAAAAAGTGTTTGAATCTATATAATGCAAAGTGCAAACCAGTAATGCTTTAATTTTTTGAAATAATTACATATTTATGATTAAAAAAGGTTATTACAAAATGTGACCTGTAAATTTTAGTGATTAAAATAATAACTTTAGTGAATTTTACATTCTAATTAACGATTACACTATTAATAACTTTAATTATATTTTTGTAAATATATTTTATTTCAGTAACTTTTTTGAAAAAACTCTTGATTTCTTACAAATGATTATATTGCTAATAAATAAAATTTAATCTGAAAAATATAAAAATGAATCTTTTGAGTTTGGGTTAGTGCTTTATCTATGTCAAATATTCAAGCATTTTCACGTTCCAAATGGACCTTTAATGAACCTTTACCGCATTAGTAATTGGTTGAGTGACTTGAGTCCGACGATAATGAAAAAAAGAACAGCACATGTCAGTCTTTTTCGCACACTTAAATTAAAGATAAATGAAAGTTAATCCATTTTTTTAGGGTAATGAAAGTTCATCCATTCTTTCGTTTTAGCTTTATTTTAGGGAAATTATCACCCATCTCTCTTCAGCTTTCACATATTATTACCTAGACCCCTGCACTATTAAAAATATACTATTACTCCCCTCCTTATCCTTTAATGAAAATTTAAATAACTTCTAATCATGTTTAGCAAAATTATAGATTTAGTCCTGTAAATTTACCTACTTGCATATTTGATCTGGTGACAAATAATGTATCCACATTAAGAATCTTTCCATGAGAAAGTACACTCTGTGTCAAAAAAAATAACGACATCTTTTCTAGTATGTGCTTTTGCGCCTTTGCGGGAATGTGTACTTTCCGATGAAATAATCCTTAATAATGACATATTCATTATTTACCTATGTACATCTACATGAGAGCAAGTTTATAGAACAAATTAATAACGGATACAATCGAAAAGTATAGATTTTAAACAACAAGTCTGTATTACTTTTAAAAGTTCAAATATATCTCTGGGTTGTAGAAATCTTGGTGAAGTATATACATCTCACGTCGGATTTTTTTTTCTCACGTGAAACAAGATTACTCCCTCCGCCCCTCATTTATCTCTTGAAGTACAAATGACACAGAAATTAAGCTAGATAACGAGTATTATGTGGTGACGAGTTGTGCAGAGGAGAAAAAATGTCTAAAAATGTTGTGAACCACAATTTTTTTTCAAAAAAGGGAAATAAGAGATAATTTTTGGGACGGATGGAAAAGCTAGGAAGTTTGAAGATTATATTGGAACAGAGGGAGTACTAGTTTCCGCAATCTTCTTAAAATCATGAATCATCCACTAATTTTTTTTAGATATAATAAAAATATTTTAAAATTTTGAATGAACATTATTTATAATTATACTTGAGCTAAACTTTTGGAATATTATTTTATACCTAAAACAGATGTTGGTGAATGACTTTTAAGACAATGTTGTACTTATTAAAGTTTTATGGGAAATACTCACTTCAATGATATCGATTTGTCCTAAAGATCATTCACCAACATCTGTTTTAGGTACGTGTAAAATAATATTTCAAAAGTTTAGCTAAACTGTAATTCTAAACAATGTTCATTCAAACTTTAAAAATATTTTTATTATAAGTGCTGAAGCTAATAGTCTTTTATCACGTGGGAAAAAACTATGGCGTGAGATGTACATTGCACCAAGACTTCTACAATCTAATAAATATGTCTATATTAATGACTATTTCTTCAGAAAGCACACACTACAACAAAAAAAACATACTGTACTAGAAAAGACGCTGTCAAATTTTTTGTTACAGTGTACTTTCTAGTGGAAAAATTCATCACGCGGATAAATTTATGTGTTACCGGATCAAATCTATAAGTGAGTAAATTAACACGATTAAATCTATAATTTTTTCTAAACATGATTAGGAGTTATTAAACTCTCATTAAGGATAGGGAGCGTGGTAAGAGTATATTTTCAATAGTGCAGGGGTCATGATAATGTATGAAACCTCAAAGGAGGTCGGTGATAATTTCCCTTTATTTTATAGCTTTATTTTATTTATTAAAAACCAAAATACATTTTTAATTCAACCATTTTAACTAGAACTTCAACACATTGCCACTTCAGCCATTTTCTAGGAGACATCAACAGATATGAACAATAAAAAATTGCCATTGGCTCTAACTTGAAAGATTAAAACCTAACTGTTTTATATAATGAGTAGTTGCAGCATTAGGAATCTAGCATTCATAGATCCTCAGAATAAAATCCCAGATGATTGGTTTAATTAATAGGTTTAAGGGCTGTTGAGGTTCTTGAGGTCCTGCTCCTGAGCATACCAATTTGGCACTATCTTCAAGAGATGAGGGTAGAGGTCCTTGAAAGAATTTCTTATTGTGCCTTCCGCTACACCTGTGGCAAGTGATACATCTGCACACAAACATGTTTTTTTAATATCATTGATATATACTGCAACAGGGATAAATAAAACATAATGCCAAGTAACTAAATTCACAGCATAACATTATGGCAGGAAACTCTCACCTAAGGTAAAAAAGGTTTTGGGAAACTTAATGTGGAGTATAGAGGATTAGGAATAGCTTTGACAATATCTACCAGGAAGGAGCTCTGATTTTTACCTTTGACAGGCTTTTTATCATCTGAAAGTTGAGTAACTATATATATAACAGCTGCAGCAATAGATATAGGGTTCCTCCTGCATTAAATAAAAAAGTAATGAAGGTAAATAAGCACTCCTAGTCTCCTAGACTATGATAGAGATTGAAAGATGCTGGGGGAGAAAATAGAGGAACAGATGAGAGAAGTTTGGAAGGAAAAAACTGTAGAGGAAAACAAATCATTAGTCTAAACTCTAAACTCTAAACTCAATCAATTTATTTTCAGAAAGGATATACTACTACCTTATGTCAAACTCTTCTGATTTTGTAACAGCTTCTTGGGCAGCTTTAACAGCTTGATTTGCCATTCCAAGGTTTGAACAAAATCGTCGCTATAGGGAATAAAAGTGTAGCAGAAAGAATCGTGAAATACAGTTATCCAGAAAGGGGGAACAATGAATAATTTCCTTAATGTTTTGTGTTAAAAACAAAGACTTGCCATGAAATCCCCTGCATGTATTGTTCCCATATCAACGGATTGACCCATCTCAAGCTCCAACTGTTTCACTATGTATTCCTTTGCCCGACCAATCTCCTTCTTCGTTGCACCATTTGCAACAGAGCATATTTCTAGTTGAAACACATTTGTTCAAGAATGCTCCTCCAAATTAAGAGGTATACCATATAAGAATCTAAAACATTTATAATCTTAGGATGTACCCTTTACAGTGCGAGGCTTGTCCTCTTGTCTACAAGCAATGTATAAGCAGGCAGCAAGAATGGCATCCTGGTTTCTTCCTCTACTAGATTTCTGATCTTCAACCTTCTTGTATATCTCATTAGCACGATCCTTTATATTAATTAAAATAAAAAAGCAACATCAACAACTACACAAGTAATCCATCTTCTCATTCTTCAAAGCCATTTGCTTAAAAGAATTTCAGCTTTTCATAAAAAATTGTCAAGGTTGACCATCTGGATGGCAGTTCTGGGGGTGAAATCAACATTTACATTCACTGAATGGGAGATGCAGCTTTATTGTAATGGTAAAATATAAATCATACTCACTAAATGTCATCATGGTGGTAAACATGGATGTTGCTGCAGGGGAGACCGGGAGATGTAACTTTGATGTAAGGGTAAAATAGTAATTTTACTAGATGTTATCTAGGGAGTCAGCAATTTAGGTACACTTTGATGTAATTTTGATGTAAGAATAAAATAGTAACTTTACTTCCTGAATGTCATCTAGTTGGTCAACATTGATGTCATTATAGTCTTAGAAATAATATCATGCACCATAATAAACTAAACCATGCTAGACTCTCCTTATTTAAGAAGTGAAATCTTTGAAATGGAAAACCTTAATCTCGCACAAAAAAAGATGGAAACATGACAATCACAAGTTCTTAAGTCATTCTGAAAAGGCCATTTTGTTCAAGCACATCCTACACGTTTAAGATTCTCAATGCAGGAATACCTTTATTGTGGCAACAAGTCCCAACCTGCAAATTTTGAAAAGAAAAAAAAAGTGACCATCAAATATTGCAATTCTGTCAGACTGTAAGTGCAGTCCACAAAGACAAGTGATTGACAGTAACACAGTATCCTATTCAAGAAAATTGATCCGCATACGGAAAATGAAAAAAAGCATTTGAATATCATGCACCATAATAAACTAAACCATGCTAGACTGTACGAATATCATTCAAAAAAATGAATATCAACTCACACAGTTTAAGAGTTCTTCATATCCCGAATGGGTTTGAGCTAACTTACTAACCATATGTCATATGTAATCATGTCACCAAAGAGCATTAGTGTTTGGTCTTGATTGTACTAGTTATTTTTAGAAAGCAGAACCCGAACTAGTTGTATAAAAACTTGGAGAACAAAAAACAGGCTATTTAAGGAACAAAAGTTTCAGAATACTCCAAAACTGTTGTTTTGTCAAATTCTTCTAACTCTATATCCAAGCACTCATCCAAATTCTGCTTCTAGGTACTTCTTAAATAATATAATCTGTTTTCATATTAAATTCCAAACATCCACTAAGAAAGACTACAAGCTACAGACAGGAAATTGGAATTTATCTATTCTTCCACTTGAATCCAAAACAGTCAACTGCAAAGAGCACTAACATACTACGCATCAAATATCTAAGTATTACTACCCACATTACAAAAAACAAGCAAAAACATGTGACAATGTAGATGAGGATACAATTACAAATGGCCAACCATTTTTCCACATCATAATTGAAAAGAAGCATCACTTTTCCAGAACCGTGATTCAAATTTCACCACCCCTGCCTTACACAACCAGTCATGCAAAGCTTCAGCAAACAAATAAAGCGTAAATTCCAGAACTACGCACACAAACAAGGGCTTACATGAAAGAAAGCACTAGAAGAGCAGCTTAAAAAAGAAGAAGATGACGAAGAAAAATAAAACATAATGCAAATCAAAGATATCAGATTATCAGCAATCAGAGGAGAGCTCGGGGGAGCGCAATACCTATCAGCCATAATGCCGATGGTTTTGAAGGCGAGGATGAGAGAACGATCAGGGTTGGAGCCGCGGTTCTGCCAGCGGCCGAGAGAGGACGTGAGGAAATCGCTGGTGGTTCCGTTGGGTTTGGAGATGACGGTGGAGAGGCCACCGTCGGTGAGAAGCGGATTACTGGGGCCACCAACGCGATTGGGGTCATTATCGCCGGACTCGTTGGCGAAAGTTCTCCACTCGGAGGTCTCATCGACGGAGTGGGACTCGAGGACGAGACCGCATTCCGAACAAACCATGTCGCCGGCGGAGTGGTCGAACACCACCTCCGTACTCCTCTTGCAGTCGGAACAGTAGGCATCCATTTCGGCTGAGAATGGAGAAACAGAAAAAAATCGGAGTTTCTCGTTTTCAAGGGATTATGATGTTGATGATGATGATTATATAGTCCGTATCAGTTATATATGATTCAGCTCTTTGGCGTGAGATGAACAAAGGAGGAAAGGGTCAATACACACTCTCTCTCTCCATTTGTCTCTTTTTAGTTTGGATTGGTGGTTTTTCCTTGTTTTTATACTCCCTATTATTATTATTATTAATCAACAAACAAACAAACTCGCACGGGTACCTCAGTTTGGTCGAGTGGTGGGAGATTTGGAACAATGAACCAAAGTTCGAATCCCCGTAGCGACCGGGTGGAGGTCACAGAATCTGGAATAAGACTGCACCCTGATGGCATAGATGTATGGGTCTACTGTCATTCTGCTGACTGAGTCATCGTGACTAACCTCCCTATCATCCTGTCGGATCGGGGTGAGGGCCTGCTGGGGTGGGAGATTCTACCTTTGGAACAATAAACAAACAAACAAACACGGTTGACGATGGACTTCGGATGCCGAGAAAAGAATGGCAAATCCAACTGCTCTTGGAAACCCATTAACCAAGCCAAATCAAAGGTCAAATTTCTATTAAAAAGGGAAAAAATGTAATGTGTTAAAAGGAAAATCTATTGAGTGGGTTATGGTTGCTGTAGAATGTCTAATAGAGTTCATTCTAAGTAAATTATGTATTACACATCATTGACTCATCCTTATAAACAGACATTGATTTCTCATCGTTTAAAGCGTAAATGATAATGAAATTACTTGCACAATTCTACCTAAAACACAATCTAAATGTGAATAGAAATGCAATGTTTTAATTCGAATTTGGAGTAGATTATTGTCTTGTTTAAATCATATTAACATATTACAAAATCATAATTGTCAAGGTAGCAATAACTACTTCCATTTAGAGGTATCTGATCTCGTGCAAAGAAACATGTGACATAAGAGATAGACGCATAAACTAAATCAATGAAAATTGTGTTATCTTTATTTTTACAATATTCAATATACTTGTTACTTCTTATTCACAATGTCATTTACAATTGCACTATATAGCCATTGTGCTTGAAAAATATGTTACTTAGGATGTTTTAATTGGATTGTAATTTTTTAGTTTGACCTATTATGGTATGGTCTGGTCTAGCCTATTTTGGCACGGTCTGATAGATGTCTGTTCCATGTGTATGTTACAAATATACATGCCTGATCTTGAGCATAAACCAATCCAATTAATTTTTATAAGTCTTTCTGTCTCATGACACTCACGATACATATTTTTACCTTGAAATATGTTTCTAGGAAATAATAGAAAGCATAATTCCCATATCTAGTACAATTTCTTCAAAAGAGACCACTTTCCATAACTTGTTTCAGTGGAATATGTATGTTAAAATAAACAATATAACATGTATATTTAGCTGCCAAACAAATTCTCTTACCCTAATTATACTAATATTTAGAAGAAACTACATCTTGCTTACTTGCTATAAGAACCCCAATGTCTTTTAACTATTAGGACTTTTTTTATCTGTCCATCCAAGTAATATTAGGACTCATTTTTAAAGGTGTATTAGATTTGTAAATGGTGGGATTTAGATTGTACATACACAAATATTTTAAACATCAATCTACTACTCCGTACTTCAAATGTAAGTGATAAGTGTAAAGTGTTTGTTATGCAATTGAATAGAGATCGAAAATTGACAAATATGTTTTAGACGAGGCGACGAGGGTACACATCAGTCATTTTCAGTTATTTTACCAAAAATGAAATTTGTCTTTTATATTAAATAAATAGTGGGGAATAACAACGTACTACAAGATCGAGGAAAACTAATGGATGATAATGTAATATTGAGGGACCTATTTTGGTGAACCTTGAGATGTCTTTCTTTTAAAATACTCTGATTTGGAGGTTTTAAATTCAAGAGAATGAAAAATTTAAGAAGTCATCCACCATCCTCCCCTTCTTGCTTCAATCAAACACACATCATCCACTTTCTTGTTGGGTGTGTCTCAGAAAAACGAAAAAATATTAATTAATAAAAGTAATTAATTAATTAAATAGTCAAAGAAAAACAGAAAAAAGAGATGGGATAGAGTTTAGCCAGAGCTCGTGCTACGCACGATGTTCTTAAAACGTATTCGTCGCCTCTTAGGGTGCTAGGAGCGTTGCAACGACCGTTTCCCAGGATACGGTGGCTAACGAACTAACGTTTGAGCACACAAATGAGAGTTCCGGCGAACGGGAACAAAGGCAGAACATTCAGGAATTTCCGGAGTAGCTGGAAGTGTTTTAGAGCTCAAAATACGTGAGGAATGTATTGTGTGTTGTGTCTGAACGTGTGGTTTGGAGCAAACCACCCGCCACCTATTTATAGGAGGATTTGTAGTGTGTTAAATGAGGTGTTAATGGACTTGAACGTTGGACATCAATGACCAGTCCGTTGGGTATTGAATCGTCCATAAACTGTCCATTTAACGCAGCATTAAAAGACAAGAACGTTGGACATTTATTGTTGTAACAGACCAGAAGACCCCAACAGAACACCTTGAGGTGTTCTGTCCGAAAGCCACCACAGGACCTCAAGGCCTTCTGTCCGGAAGCCAACAGAGAACCTCTCTGGTCTTCTGGCACGGACAGAATACCTCATGCCCCTCTCTGGTTCCGGGCTTTTAGCCCGTTTGGGCGGGCTCGGGGCGGGGCGGGCTCGGACCCAACTTTTGGTGAACCGGCCCGGGCGGTTCGGGCCGGGCCCGGTTCAATTTTTTTTCAATTTTTTTGCTTTTCTAGGTTAGGGTTGGGTGTTTTGGGGGGGTTTGGGGGTGGGGGTGAAGGGGGGGGGGGGTCGGGTGTTAATTAGAAACCAAAAAAAATTGAACTTGACCCGGACCTGACCCGACCCGGTTAGGTCCGGACCCGGTATCAACCCGGGCCGGTTCCGGGCCCAACATTTTGCAAAAAAAGCCCGGGTCCATCCCTACCTTAACCCGGTATAAACCCGACCCACTACCGCCCCTAGTTGGAGGGATTTTGGAGGAGAGAAGGATTTTGTTTAAATTTAGAATAATTGCTACATTTAAAATTTTAAAATAAAGTGAAGGCAAAATAGTGTATAAAAATACAAGATTTAATTAATTATATAGTTTCTTTTAGTCTAAAACTAATAAATTCAGATAAATTAATAAATAAAAAAATGATAGGACCTCTCCAATCACAGTAGGAATTCACCAAAAATACTAGTAATGGATGTAAAAGTACTGAATTGCATTAACAACCATGAACGGATTACAGAGTCCCAAAGAAGGAGGTAAAACTCCAACTTCCCAGTCCCAGACTCAAAGTCTAAACAGCCTCCTTACTAATTCCCCTCTCCCGTCTATTATACTATCCAATACCTCAAGTACCCATTGCTAATATATTCTTATTAATACTTCTATTATTAGTCTAATATAAGAGGGTTCCTAACAATACTCCCCCCCTAAAGATCCACCTTGCCCTCAAGGTGGTCGGTAAGAGACAGCCCAGATCTTCTGCTTCTTCTTCTTCCTTGCACCCCTTCCTTCCCAATATCTTCCAATTTTCAGGATCCTTAACTTCTTGACTTGAATCTTCCTTCTCACTGCTTCTCGCAAAAACAACATTAGCTCCTTTTTCTTCCAATCATCAATATTAGGCCCGTGCCTTTGATCATGCTGGTACAGATCTTTACCCACCATCCCTTTCTCATTCTTCCATGTGCTAATAGCTCTTGCTACAGGATATAACTCAAATCTTTGAGTTTCAGTTACTTCACTCCTTGAATTTTCAGTATCTTCTTTAGCCAACTTATTTGAGAATGAAAACCTCAAAGGTTTTAGCAGGTAGGTAAGGATATCCATTATTCCAGTTGCATTTCCCCCAACTGAAGAACAGGAAAGCCTATTATCCATGCAAGACTTCCAAAGTAGGTTTTCTTGAAGGTAGACAGATTCTTCATTAGAAGAAAACAATTCACTTTTCAAGCCTTGTTTCAGCTTCAACTGTCCATTTGCTACAGCTTCCAATCCCACGACCATACTCTGAGTATTAAGATCCAGGACCACACTGATTTTATCCAATCCCATCCCAGAATTGACATTGGAGTGAATGAAGACCGATCCTTCAAATGTACAATTCTGTGGATCATTCTTTCCCAACTGCCCTGCTACGATACTCTGGACTTTTACCCCTTTTTTATCCCCCATAACTTGATCCTGGCTGTCAGAATCAGCAACATACTTGTCCATAGACACACCATTCACCAATTCTTTTTGAAAATTCTTCCTAGAAGTAACCCTTTCCACTCTAAGGCTATCAGAAGTGTTCATTCCTTCTAACGTAATCTTTGATGACTGACAACCTCTGATGAGTTCAGCAACGACATCAGCTTCATGTTCAAAGTTATCTGATGATTTCTTCTTGTTTTTCTTGTCACCATTCTGCTGATTAGTCAACTCCTGAAGCAATTCAGGGGACTCAGAGGGATATTGCGAAATGGGGTCTTCTGTTTTCCTAGAAACCAGAGGTCCTCTCACTCGCGTCTTTCTTGTAAGTGAATGGATGGCTGGTGAGGAAGTCTGCGAACTGAAAGAAACTGTTTGCGACTGTGAACAGTGACAAGAAGTTCGCGATTGCGAATCAAGAGAAGTAGTTCGCGACTCAGCCTGCGAACTTGTGAGCGACTGCGACGAACGATATCTAGGGCTCCTCGCTCGAAGTTCGTTGTTGCCATGCTCTCTGTGGTCGGAATTTCTTGGACGTCCCTTGTGCGAAGTATGGTGCGACCTATGCGAAGGGTGAGAATGGTGCGATGTATGTCGCGAACGACTTTGAAGTCGGTTCTGCAATTCTGCGATGCTAGCTTGCATCGCCGCTTGCATCACGGCCATATTAGCCGCTATATTCGCCATCCTAACTTGCATTTGACGCTGAATCCTCTCCACTTCAGTGAGTCGTCCCTCCATTTTCAGGCGTGGTTATCTCAGCGATCGACTGCTCTGATACCAATGATAGGACCTCTCCAATCACAGTAGGAATTCACCAAAAATACTAGTAATGGATGTAAAAGTACTGAATTGCATTAACAACCATGAACGGATTACAGAGTCCCAAAGAAGGAGGTAAAACTCCAACTTCCCAGTCCCAGACTCAAAGTCTAAACAGCCTCCTTACTAATTCCCCTCTCCCGTCTATTTATACTATCCAATACCTCAAGTACCCATTGCTAATATATTCTTATTAATACTTCTATTATTAGTCTAATATAAGAGGGTTCCTAACAAAAAACTTGCCCTTAATGATTGCACATCCATACACCACCCAAAAAAATGTAGAAAAAAGTATAGTTGAGATTAGGGGATCGATACGAATGCTGAATTCGAAACGAAGACTGCATCTTTTTTTAGCTTGTGAGAAGTGTAATAGCAAAAGTGTTCATAGTCAACACATACTTTTGGTTACCAAAGAGATCAGAATACTACTCCGTATAAATTAAACTCTTTTGTTCCTTGCGGAGACAAAACGATTAGTAAACTTCAAATACAAAGTCTCATAAGCCTTGAAAAACAAGACTTCCACACGCTCACACGTAAAATATAACTTAAAAAGAGTAAAAGACACTCATCCTCCCATGAAGGATCAGTCAATCATTTGTATAATAAGGAAAGTACAAAATTGGATTACTATCTCAGTGTAAAGGGGAAGGCAGAAAACAAGACAGCAACAATTATTTGATGCCATAACTGAATCTCCCCACACCACTTCGAATACTCCGATATATCAATCCCCCAGCTGAAAGAACGGAAATGTATCAAATAATCCATGAGAGCCATCGGGACGAGACGTGCAATGCAGTTCAGGGCTCCGTTCTTTTTAATCATCCCTTAGGACTGCAAAGGTTCTTGGTGTCTTTATCTTTGGTATACCATTCTGGTAAGATTTTCGTAGCATGTGGATAGAGATCCTTGTATGCATTCTTGATTGTCCCTTCTGCAACTGTTGTTGCAAGCGAAATATCTGCTTTGTAAACTCTCATTAGCAACGATTATCGTCCACCATTCATTTGGTCAACTTTTATCAAAATTAAGTTTTTTTGCTAACTTTGTAAAACTAAACTTAAATATAGTTTATGCATATGTAAAATTTTATTTATTAAAAAAAATATCAGATTATTGACAGGGATCAAATAACTTTATTACCTGTCAAACATCGTGAACCAAAAGAGGAACCTTTACCCGGGACAGAGGGAGTATTATAATTTTAAGAAGAAAGAATTATATGGAATAAGGGGATCTCCAAGAAATTGTTATTCTAATTGTGGGCATATGATGGGAATTAGAGACTTCCCTTCTTCCTTGGAATTAAGTGCCAATCCGAATGAAGCTATCCATCCTAATGAGTGCAAAGCCTAAGTAGCAACCACTATTCTAGTCCTTTGAAAACCTACCTGACTCAGTACATAATTACTTCGAATGGAAATGACAGATTTTTTGGGGATGATTAAATAAGGAAGGTTGGCAAATTTTTATAGGACGGACGAAGTACTATTACAAACTACAAAGTACTCCCTCCTTGAAATAATCGTCCTGGTTTCCCTATTGATCCGTCCCGAAATAATTGTCATTTTGACAGATTTGAGACTGGCTCGGATGTTGTTGTTGTTCCCATTTTGAGAGAAATATGCGGTCTTCACCATTTTCTACTCAAATATCAAGTATCAACTACACCTTTTACCTTTTAAACAACTTTTTAATGTGTGCAAAAAGCAAGCAAGCCAAGTAATTTGGGGCTGAGGTAGAACTTTCTACTGTGTTTTCTGCTAGGGTTTAGTTGGTATGAGCAACTTATTACTTATCAGTTGTACGCGGCAATAATAATAAAGTAATGGAGAGCAATGTATGTGCTTAAACCTCTTAAGGGTTTCTTTATGTCAGAAAGCTGTGTTATCATGTATATAATTGCAGCTGCAATTGATATTGGACTCCTCCTGCAGAACAAACAATCAAGGATGGATCAACATTATGGACAAAAATGAGATTGGGGCAAATATGGAAACACTATAGATGACGCATCCAGCAAGCGGTGATTAGAATTTCCAATTATTTTTCCAAAATATTGCTTCCCTTTTCCTCCTCACACTTCAAAACACATATGCGTGATAAACATGAATACTAACTACTATAGATTCCAGAAAGCACATTTGAAACTTAAAAAGTGGAAGACGACCAGGCTGGTAAAACTTCAAATCTGTGCATTTTGTATTCATAAATTAACGATGGTGTTAATGATTCTCAGAGGTTTTTAAGAAAAATAAATTTGAGATTACAACTGAAAACTTTAAGGGACCCTTTGAATGGATGATTGTGTAGGGCTTGGTCTACATTATTCCCTTTCTTTTCCTAAATTTTTAAAACATGCACATATGAAGATGCATAGACTTACCCCTCTAAAACTCTCTCATCCAAACTGAACATAATAATATTGCAATAGAGCCTTAAAGTACCTAATATCAAAAGCCTCCGCTTTCTGGACAGTTTCTTGAACAGCTTTAATTTCTACATGGCTCATTCCAAGGTTAGAGCAAAAACGCCTCTGAAGAGCCAAAGACAGGTAAGAATGAGCTCATATCAATAAAAAGGATTGCGTATGTGCACATATTCGTTACATAATAAACTTTGCACTTGACAAAATAGCACAAAGATATTAATCAGGACTACTGAACGAGTGATGATAACAACCCACCAGATAGTCCCCTGCATGTATGGTACCCATTTCCATGGACTCCCCCATTTCAACCTTCAACTGTTTCACGATGAATTCCTTAGCTCGACCAATTTCCTTCTTTGTTGCTCCATTCGCAATAGAGCATATCTCTATTGATGAAAAGTCCACACTTTTGAGAAGTAGATCATTCACAACTAATTGATGTGTACATGCCCAAGTAAAATTTGACCTTTTACAGTTCGAGGTTTGCTTTCTTGTCTGCATGCGATATAAATGCAAGCAGCCACCAAAGCATCCAGATTTCTCCCCCTCGTACACTTTTGGTCTTCCAATCTTTTATAAATCTCACTAGCACGATCCTGTCATTTATCCATCATCATACTAAGCATTTTGTTATCACATTATGCAGCACTACATTCAAATACATATACACGAGTCTGAATTTAAGCATCTAAAGTAGCTAACCCATTACCCACTCCCTTCCAAAACAAACATGCATACTGTTTTTTTATTTTATTTCGATGGGTTCAAATAATTGGGTTTGGGTCTGGGGCTGTTCGGAATTCATTAATTTACACCTTGGGTCATCGCTTAGGCGTCTATGGCTCCTTTCAAACGCCACAGCGACGCTGCTTCGACGCCAAATAGTTAATGGCGTGTCGACCTCCCATGGCGAGCTTCTGTGAGCGCCGCGATGAATGGCGACGTTTAGACGACGATATGGTGACGTTTAGGCGAGGATATGGCGACGCCGTAACAACTATGCTCACAAGTCTCACATTATACAAATGATACAAATCAGCCATTCAAAATAAAACCACTGCTAGAAGAGCAGGGTGACATTATGAAAGACAGACACTTAAACCTAGCCAGTATTGGAATCCAGCACTTCAAATACATTTCAAGTAGACAAATTAGTTATGTATAGGTGCAATTTCATTGGGCTAAAAATCATCACTTCTTAAAAGTGTGAGTATAACACAATGTAGATACACAATAGTGGCAAAAACCAAATTCACTGTACTCGGAATAAGGACTTTTCTAAGGGATACCTTTATGGTAGGAACGAGGCTCAACCTGCAAAGAACAAGAAGGTTAGTCCACTTATGTTATAACAAACCCATTAAAGCGATCACTTTTAAGGACAAAAAAGATCAAATATCAAAACAATTAAGCTCAAATCCCGATGGATCCTTTATCATTACAGTCAATATGTTATAAACAGGATAATTTTCTTCAGGAATTTCAATTAACAGAGATCAATATATTAACTTGATATGATTATCAAATTCATTAGCGACACTCTCCATAGTCTATTACTCCTCTTACAGTTCAAGCTCACTGTCCAATTCTTCCCAATCAATCATGAACTGCCTGTCTTAAATCTCTGTTTCCAGCCGCCAACAGAACCCTTCAACATTAAACCCTAAAACCCTAGGCTAAATCAAGTAAAGAAAATAACACACACCTATCCGCCATGTTAGCTATGGTTTTGAAGGCCATAACCAGAGCTCGGTCGGGGTCGCCGCCCCGATTCTGCAAACGAGCCACAGATGCCGCGTCCGCATTAGTATTCGGCCCCTTTGAAATCACCGTGGAGAGGCCGACATCACCGAGCAAAGGGTTGACCGGCCCTCCAACACGGTTAGGGTCGTGATCACCTGAATCGTCTGCAAAAGTACGCCACTCAGAAGTCTCGTCTATGGAACGAGATTCAAGCACGAGCCCGCACTCGGAGCAGACCGTGTCTCCGGCGGAATGATCGAAAACCACCTCTGTGTTCTTCTTGCAGTCGGAACAGTATGAATCGCCCATTGAATCAGATCCGTTTAAACTCAAAAATAAAAATGAGAACTTAAATCGTACGGCGGTATATGTCTATACAGGACTATGATTATATCTTTTATATATATATATATCTGAGATGTATATCACGACTAGGAGCTAGGTTAGAGAGAGGGAAGGATGGTTTCTTCAAGCTGAATGGGAGAGACAAAGAAATGACAGAGGAAGGTCAAAGGCATATATATAGAACACTTTAGTCGGTGGCCGATAAAATTTGGGGTCCATCGATTTCAAATTTACTCCGCCATAGTCAGGACGTTTTTACTTTGTAGTACAAAATTACTCCATATGCGTTTCGAATGTTTCAAAATTAATTTTTCATAATTATCCCTCTGTCCCGTAACTTCTTATTATTCAAATTTTCCAGAAAAATATGACTAGTTATATTTTTCACAAAAATATTATTTTTTTGCCTTTTATAACTTTGTCAACTTTTCCTTTTTAATTTACCCAAAACTTTGTTATTTTCCCTTTTAATCAATCAATTTGTGATCCATGTTATTTCTCTCTCCTCTTTACAAATATCTACCACACAGTTGTTACTTTATTATTCTACGTGTCGGTCAAACTTGGCAAATCTTTAAGGGACGGAAGGAGTACTAGTCATTCTGTATGAGTAACTAGATAAGAGTCACTATAATGCACTTCAGAGTGACAAATCATTGATAGATGATTAGTCACTAGAAACTAGTCACAAAATATGTCAATTCAAAACCAGAAAGATCGATAAATCATTAATCCGGGATCCGAAAAATGAAATGTTTCAGCATATAATTTGAATGATGGAAAATATCGATCTAGGACCTAACATTCCACAGGTTTTGATTCATTTATTTTTTTATTATTACAATACTGATTTTTGGTAAACTTTTCTTCACAAAAGTTTATTAGTTTAACAAACTTAAATACTATTTAAAAATTTTAAAATAAAAATAATGATAAAATTCATGACAACTTAGGTCCTGGATTGATAGTTTTCAATCATTCAGGTAATAAATTGATAGTTTTTCATCATTCGTTTCATATATCGATACACTTCATCCTTGAGGTCCCAGATTGATAATTCGTCTATCTTTCACGTCTCGAATTGATAAAATTTCCTACTATTTCAAATCCATCGCCTCAACCCTTGTACTAAAATAAGTATCATACGTGTACGTTTATTTTGAAAACACAATCATCCGAGTCATTTTGACTTGCTATAGATGGTAATTTTTTTTAAAATAAATTATGTAAAAATAATAAATTTTATATAAATTCAAATAAACTTGAAAAATAATGTAATAATAATATACAAGTATGTAAAAATGAAAGAAAAAAATATTAATATTTCCAAACCCCTAAATTGTTCATATATTATATTTATTTTTATTCAAATTTTGATAAATTTTTTAGAATTTTATAAATTAAAAAGAACTTGCTATTAAAGTTTAAAACCCGGTTAAATGGTTGGATTGAACTATTTTTTAAAGTAAGTGTATTTTAATGATGCTTTTTTAGTAGAAGGATTTAAGTGATTAGAAGCAGGGTCTATTTGACTTTTTCCCCTTTTTTAAAATATATCGTATCATTGTTTTTTTGAATTAAAGTAGTACTCCCTCCGCCCCGCTAAAAATGGGATAAGAGGGGGTGACACGCAAATTAATAAAAAATGGTTGCTATTGAATTGATAAAGGAAGAATAAAGAATGATTTAGAGACACATAAACTTTACCAAATTTGGTAAGAGACAATCTTAGTGGAACAGACCGATAAGTTAAAATGAGACAATCGTAGCGGGACGGAGGTAATAATATTTATGAGAAATAGACCAGAAAATTATTAAAAATAACACATACACATGATTTACAATATTAGAGGATTCACAACTCTGAAATCATAATTTTGCTCATATAAATAAAGGAGCGATAAACAACCATCACAAATATTTGGAACAACATACTCCTAAATCTGAAATGTTCGAGTGGATCGACAATGATGAGTTAGCAGGTGTATGCATAAGGCCTTCCAACGTGGAATGAGGATGAGCCGATGAGGGGTTGGTTCGTAGCTATATAAGAGGGGTGGTACTTCCTCTGCTATTTCGCCAGCTGAGGCAGCCAACAACTAGTGAGGAGGATGGAAGTTGATGGTAAGGAGTTGCTGCCTCTCTGGCTGATCGGCTACGGAACTGCGGAAGAGGGCCAGAGAGGGGAATAGGCGAATACTCCCTCCGTCCCGAAAGGATCCATAAGTTTACATGACACGTAGAATAATAAAGTAAAAACTGTGTGATAGAGATTTGTGAAGAAGAGAGAAAAATAAACCGAGTCACGAATTGATTGATTAAAAGGGTAAGTGACAAGGTTTTAGAGACAACCAAAAAAGGAAAGTTGATAAAGTTATAAGGGACGGATGGACCGATGAGTCATAGGCTTAACTATGTGTTTTATTTTATTCTCTTTAGTTTACTTTCTTTTCTTTTATCTTTTTTCTTTTATTCTTTTCGTTTCTTTCTTTTCTTGTTTCTTTCTTTCTTTTTCTTTATATATTAATACCGAGCACATTAGAAATGAGCTTTACTTTAAACTCAAATAAGTAAAGCGTCTAAAAAGAACGAACATACACAAATTAGCTTTTGAATTTTTGAAAACTCATTTTGTAAGTTATGTATGTCCATTTAGTACATTCGTTATGCTAATTTCAAAATGTTATATTCAAATGCTCATTTTCGAAAAGTCTCTTATTACATTAGATTCACATAGAATTTGATTATAGACACGAGACCACAAATTTATACTCAATAGCATGATACTAATACTCAATAACGGAGGTCTGATGCTCACTGAAAATGTCTTGATGCTCAACGAACAAAACTTACAATTTTTATATCAATGCTCATCTTGTAAGTTATATATGCTCATTTGTATAGGTCTCATGCTCATTAAAAATTCATTAATGCTCATTTAACAGAAATCGTGAATTCCATCAATGCACATTTTGTAAGTTACGTATGCTAATCTCTTACTCATCCTATGCTCATTTTCTAAATGTCATATCAATGTATTTTTTGAAAGTATTATTTTACATTAGATTCACATATTGAAATTCATAGCAGTTGATTATAAATATAATTTAATAAGTTTTTATAAAAAAAAATAACAAAAAGAAAGTGAATTAGAAGTTAGGAAGCAGAGATCACGATTCTGAATATTAGACTCCTAATACTCAACATAATAGACACTAGTGGAAAATTGTTAAACAGAGGCGTTTCATTAGAGGCGTTTTTAGAAACAAGCGCCTCTGAATATTATCAATTTTATTTTTTATTTTTTTTATACAAGGCGTGCAGCGTTTTTGACTAACCTAAGAGCCTCTAACGTTACATTATTTAAAAAATAAAAAGACGTGTGGTGCTTCTTGTCCGGAAAGCGCCTCTCATTTCGTTTCAACATCTCATACGTGCGGTGCTTCTCTTGTAAGTGCCTTCAAGTTATATCCAAAAATTATACTCCATACTCCATAATCGTTTACATCTACCTATTGAAAACTTGAGGATTGGAGCAACTAGACAAAGACATGTGGGTCGGAGCGAGGAGTAAAAACCCTACCCCGCAGCAGCTATTGTGCCCCGCCGCTAAATTGCTACCATTCTTTCTCCCTGGCCGGCTGCCCCATGCACCTTTTACCCACTTGGGTGCTCGACAAGCTACAGTCGGCCTTTCGTCGTTGTGACGCTTGCTGGTACAACTCTTCCACCTTGCCTCGTCCCAGCCTGCCATCGGACCAGATCTGTCGCCCCGCTCGTGGCGTTGCCGACCCCTCGCCGGTACTCCGTCCAGCCGCAACGTTATCTTCTGGATTCCACCGCCTAAGATAACTTCTCTATTACTTTTATTTTACATTATCAGCCACCTCATGAGTGCATCTACTTCCCCAAGCCATGCATTGCCCTGCCGCTGGTTTATGTTCTTGATTTGTATCACTATCTCCTGCTCTATTTTAGAATTTCTCTAACGATAAATTTATGTGTTGTGTTTTGTTAGCTTTGTTGCATCCCTATTTGTAAGGAAGTTAATAATAGTTAATGAAATCAGTTTATGTGTAGGTTATTTTTATTTTTCTGCAACTTGAATAAGTGAGTAAATACAATTATCCGTTTGTGTTTTAAACCGCCATGTGCAAACACCCTACAATTATGAAAAATCGAGTCACATAAGGTGTTTGAGAAAAAGCCTAAGTGTGAATTTTGTATTTTATTATGTTAAACTACATAATCTAAAGTGGCGGTAGTTATCACCTCCTATAATCTTGTCAATTGTTGTGGCACGAACCATAAGTTGGAGGTACAAGAGGATAGTTATCACCCCAGCTCCAAAGCTATTGAAAGTTGTAAAGAGAATGAGATTCAAGAGGTAGTGAGATTGCTCAAAGCCTCAAAGGGTATTGGTAAAAGTAGTTCAAACACTTGAACATTAAATATTTTACTCGTGAGTTTGTAGTTGTGATGGATATTTTTTTATGAATATATTTTATTACAGAAATAAAAGGTAGCAAAAGTAACCAATTTAGTATGAGATGTTAGTCTTAATTCCAAATCTTTTGTTATCTTTGACCAGTTAGCAAAGGAAGCATCAAATTGGTTTTGGCGGTGATAATTTTAACGCAAGTGCCATAGCTATCTATGTAAAGTCAGGTCAATTTTTACACTCCCTGATGTTAGTCTTAATTCCAAATCTTTCTCAGTTCTATTTGTGTATCTATTGATTAATGTAAGTTTATTTATTGGTTTACTATTAGGAGTTACAATTGTATTACCCCAAGGCCCAAGTAGGTTGTGAATTCGAATGTTTCTCTAGCTGTATGTTGAGATGAATGAAGGCATGAAAGTACTAATAATCGGCATGGGCAAGCTGCTAGGACTCTGACGAGAAAATTATCAAGAAGATAAGGAGGTTAATCCCTTTGCAAAAAAACATGTACTGCCCATAGAGGCATATGTAAAGTTGATATAAATTTGTAGTCATTTGTATTGCTAAAATTGCAGACAATTTATTGGAGTGAATATTTAGTAGAGATTGATGTTATCGTTTAATCAGCTTTTGACGTTTTTATTGTGATTTGGAGAAAAAAATACACAATTTATCACATAACAAGTAATAAATTCAAAATTGTAAAACCACTC